GTGACACGTATGTATGTTCCCACTGTGACACGTATGTATGTTCCCACTGTGACACGTGTGTATGTTCCCACTGTGACACGTATGTATGTTCCCACTGTGACACGTGTGTTCCCACAGTGACATGTATGTGCAGACCTTTGTTGGGCCTCCACAGTCGCTCCATGCCGTGTCTCATCAGCACGACTCTGGCGAGCTCAGTGAACGACTCGGTGATGTTGAAGTTACACAGCGGACTGACCTCGAAAAAGGTGACGCCCAGTTTCTCAGCGTACACCTGCGCCTGCTCCGTGGTCACCTGACGCTTGTAGGCCAGATGGAGACGGTTCCCCACCAGGATCTTAGGCACCCCTGGGGCATGCTGGGAAAAAGGTACGATTTTGATGTAAAATTTGAAATATACTTTATAGTTTTTGGCCCTGAGTTGTGTCTGAAGGTGAAACTGTGACATGACAGCATCTGTGTTCCTGCTCCTTGTTTTACTAAAACTGAAGACAACTGTCTCTTCATGTGTCCACATGTTAATAACTGAAGACAACAACTGTCAGTGTCTCTTCATGTGTCCACATGTTAGTTCCACATTAAATATGTGTCTTAACATCCTTCAAAGAGAAATGTTTCTCACCTTCAGTCCAGAGACGAGGAATCAGGTTATAAAACATAAAAGTGTGTGTGTGTGTGTGTGTGTGTGTGTGNTGTCTCATCATATGTTTTATCTCATTTTTTTTCCAGCAGTGGCTTTTATACATTAGATTCAAAATGGCGGCTGTGGAATAATGAAGTTGCTTTACGACACGTTTACTGTTGATTTGGACATGATGTCATTTCCTGTATAAAATATATCAAAACAACAAAACAGACCAAAATTCAATGTACATTATCAAACAACCATTTTCAAACAGATTTATAAAAACTTCATTGACGGTTTTTAACTTATAAATTGTAGTTTAGTTCCAGCGAACAGAGTCGACCCTCAGCTCATTCCAGTGAAACTCAGTTTTAAGAAACAAATCAGTTCCTGGAGTCATGAATCTCATCATGTAGAAACCAGGCGTTGGTGCGTTCACTGACAACACACGCGTGCGTCCAGCTGTTAGGAGATTTTACAGCTGTTTCTGCAGCTCGGTGCCAACGGGCTCAGCGGTGGCGCCCTGATCAATTTGGGTTTTTTCACCAGCGTCCCACCGGTCCTCTTGGTGACGGAGTAGGAGCGTCCGTGCATCATGCGGGTGTTAAGTCCGTTGGCCACAGAGAAGGACTTGAGGTGGGACTTGAGAGCGAGCGGGAGGGGGAGATTATCCACCAGGTGGACGGGGGTGCAGGAGACGATGGAGCGACAGCAGAGGTCCTGAAGACTCAACACTGACACAGAGACACAGAGAGGCAACCAATCAATCAATCAACCAATCAATCAACCAATCAATCAATCAACCAATCAATCAATCAATCAATCAACCAATCAATCAATCAACCAATCAATCAACCAATCAACCAATCAACCAATCAATCAATCAATCAATCAATCAACCAATCAATCAACCAATCAACCAATCAACCAATCAACCAATCAATCAACCAACCAATGATATTGATTTCGCTCTGAAGACGTCACAGACCGAACCTGGAGGACAAGCGTTCCCTCGTTACATACACAAATAAACTGTAGAACAAAAAGTGAAATACATGCTGAATGAAACTGTTCGTCATTGTGCCTCTAAAATTCAACCATTTGTGAGAATGTGTGTGGTATTTTTACTGTTGTCCAGCAGAGGGCAGCACAGGCCTGCTAATGCAAACTGCAAACCTTTAAGGACGCGATGGAAACTTTGTGTAAAACTTTTAGAACAGTTTGGATCTTTAAGGCTTTTTGTTTTCAGCAGAAACAAATAATGAAAACTGAAAACTGTCACCAGATCATTGTGATTCTGAAGAAAACTATTCTGAAACTACAAGCAGCTTCTAGTTTCTGTGATTTATGGACGTCAGCATGATGATGTTCTCCGGCGATTATAAATATAGTATGTTCCCACAGTGACACGTATGTATGTTCCCACAGTGACACGTATGTTCCCACAGTGACACATATGTATGTTCCCACTGTGACACGTATGTATGTTCCCACAGTG